TCCGGACCGACCTGAACGCTTGGGCGGACCTGCACAAAAAGGTGAGCACTCCGACGATCAAGTCAGTATAGGTCGGATTCCCAGTTTAGTTCGAGGCCAGAAATCATCCTACCTGATCGTGGAGTGAGGTCCTCTACTTATGGGCGGTAGTCCCACTAATCTCGCGACGGTTACATTCGGTAATCTCGGGACCGTCGGTTACACCCGGTAATCTTGGGACCAACGGTTATGCCCGATAATCACGCTGCTGACAGTTGCTCACATCGGCCCCTACCGATCTCCCCGATAGGTCAGACCTGGGCCAGGTTCACCTCGGCCCTCATACTTAGCATTTGTCGACGTTAGTGGCGGCCATCTCGGCGGTCCGAACTGGGCATGACTCATGAGCCATCTTGGAGCACCAATAGGGGTCCTCCACGTGTCCAGGGTATTCCCTTCCCCAAACAGCTTGAACGCCACCAAACTTTTCAATACATAATATTTGCAAAGCAGTAAGGTGGCCGAGGTGGTGAGGAAGTTGGGTTGCACTAAACTTATCATTGACCAAATGAAGTTTTGTAGAGAATGAAGGTGCATGAGAAGGCTAAAATCGTAATTTTGCATGCATCCATGAATTCTCAGTTCTTGCAAGTTCATGTGGTGGGCTAACTCCTCTGGCAACTTTTTCAAGGGACCAATGCTTAGCTGAGACAACATGTTCTTGTTCTGCAAATTCAAGCTCAAATTGGAGCCATGGTCTATTCTCAATTTTTGAATGGAATGGCATAATTGTAGCCCGTCTGGAAGTTTGGTCAATTTTTCAGAGCTTGAAATTTCCAGAAATCTAAGATTTGAAGAACCAAAATGGTCTGGAATGTTCAACAATGCAGGACAATAAAAAATTTGCAAGCTTTGAAGATGAGGAAAAGTGGTAGCATTTGAAGCAACTGTTACTTCTTCTTCCCATCGCTCCAAGCTGTCCATGCAGATGAGTGTAAATTCCTCCAGCTTGGGGAAGAAAGCCCTTTGCTTAGAATCATTCCCATAGAATTCCCCTAGAATCCTTCGTACTCCAATCAACTCTCTGATATAAAGCCTCTTTAGATTGGTCAATTGCCCCAACATTGGAAGCTTCTCACATTTTTAGCAACCGTAGAGACGTACCGTTTCTAAATTCTCAACAAAAATCTTGTTAGGCAAAAATTTGCCTTCAAATTTCCAAATTTCCAATGATTGCAAATTTTTGTGTGGTTGAAGTCCTTCCAACACTTCCAAATCATTTTGATTGTTGACTTTTCTTATCCCATACCCATTAATCCAATGAAAAGCCAGGCTATCCAAGTTCTCCTTGTCCACCAATTTTGCAGAGCTGGCTTCTTCTTTGCTTTTCACTTGCTCGAGACAATAAAGCTTCAAACTACCTTTCAAGTTTTTCAAAAATCCAAGTTCCGTAATTTTACAACCCTTCTCATATCCTACTACAAAATTGGACAATGTTTGAAGCTTAGTCAACTTACTCAAATATGGAGGCATCTTATTGGCAACAAAATTATTCATCGAAAATTCCAAATGTCTTAAACTAACCAATTCTCGTAAATTCTTCGAAAGATCTACCATCGGTAAGTTTTCAATCCTTAGCGTTTGCAGATTATAAAGTAAGGCAATAGATTCTGGAACCTTATCTATTGTGTGAGTACCCAAAATGGAATAACCATAAATGTGGAGGTATCTCAAGTGTTTCAACCTACCAATTGAGTTTGGTAACTTGTGAATATATTCTGGTTCCATGATCAAAACTCGCAAATGAACAAATTTCACAATCTTATCGCCAATCGTCTTCTCTTCGTTGTGAAGCATGTCTTCGTAACAAACCATCGTGCGGAACTTGCTAGCAATTGTTTCACTCTCTTTCTTCCAATGTTCTTCCTTCAATAAATTCATAAGATCTAATTGCAATATTTTGTCATTTAATACCTCATATGAAATATCATGTACAAGATCATGCATCTTAACATGTATAATTCTCCCCTTGTCATCTTTGACGCTATCTTGAAATAAGCAGCGAGACAACAATATGTTGAAGTACATGTCTCCTATGTTTTCCATTGATAGGTTGATTCTTTCTTGTTGCAGCTGAATGAACCCTTGTGCAATCCACATTCGAATTAGTTCTTCTTTATAAAAAATGTAGTCTTTGGGAAAGTTTGAGCAGTAAGCAAAGCATTGCTTTAATGAAGATGATGGTAGACGATCCACACTTAACTTTAATATTGATAAAACAAATTTTTCCTCTTGCAATGGAGTTCTTACTATACTTTTCAATATTGTCATCCATCTATCATAATCTCCTTCAAACTTTACTGCCCTCCCTAGAACTCTTGCAACCACAGGTATGCCACCAAATTTTTTAACCAACTCTTCTCGAATGACCTCCAAACTTGAATTCATTGATAGCCCATATGCACCTGCACTTTCCTTAAATAAGGACCAACATTGATCATCAGATAATTCACGTAAATGATGGCTAGGAAGTGTTTCCACAATTTTTGCAACATCAGCACTTCTTGTAGTAACAACAATGCTATTTTCAGATTTTTCAATGATCCTTATTATAGAATACTTCAAGGATTTTCATTCCAAACATCATCAAGCACAAGAAAATATCTTTGGCTAAAGCAAGACCTCCTTATTGTCTCCACCACTTAAAGTACAATTTAGACTTTTTAAGATTTGTCTCAAAATTTTGTTGACAATAAAAGGTTCAGACACACATACCCAAAATGTTTTATGAAAATGTTGTTTAATCATCTCATGATTGAAGACAACCTTTGCCAAAGTTGTTTTTCCCATTCCACCCATACCAACAATAGGTAAGATAGATGTAACTTGTTGAGTGCTGGCATCAATCACTTGTTTCACTATACTTGGGCGGACCTGCACAAAAAGGTGAGCACTCCGACGATCAAGTCAGTATAGGTCGGATTCCCAGTTTAGTTCGAGGTCAGAAATCATCGTACCTGATCGTCGAGTGAAGTCCTCTACTTATGGGTGGTAGTCCAGCTAATCTCGCGACGGTTACACCCGGTAATCTCGGAACCGTCGGTTACACCCGGTAATCGGGACCGACGGTTGTACCCGATAACCACGCCGCTGACAGGAGCTCACATCGGCCCCCACCGAGCTCCCGGTAGGTCGGACCTCGGCCAGGTTCACCTCGGCCCTCATACTTAGCATCTGTCAACGCTAGTGGTGGTGATCTCGGCCGTCCGAGCTGGGCATGACTCATGAGTCATCTTGAAGCACCAATAGGGGTCCTCCACGTGTCCAGGGTATTCTCTTCCCCAAACAGATACGATAGAAAAGAATGCTTTGCATAAAAGGTATATTATTATGATTCTGATATTGGTATATATGGTTCAATGTTGTTTATCTTATTTTGGTGATATAGATGTTTATCTTTTGAATATTTTTAGTTCTGATTTGATATTGAGAGATAGATTGTTAAATTTTTTTGGCTCATCTGAGAGCATTAATATGTGAATGTATTGTTGATCATTTTTTTTTTTTTTTTGGATTTCTGATTTGTTGAATATTGTTGTAAAAATTAGATAAACACAAACAAAAATAGCATAAAAACCAGCAATAAGAACAGAGTTCTTCAACCAAAAACACAGAACTCTAATCAAATATTGCAAATCAATCAATATAAGTAATTAAGCTAAAATGGAGAAGAGCTAGAAAGAAGAAGATAACACCAGTGATTATAGTGGTTCGATCTTAATTGATCTACATCCACTTTGAGGCTCCATTTTCACTATCTTCTCTAACAAATTGATGATACAGAGCAATCAGCTCAATCCCAATCCTTTTAGATAACCCAAAGCCTATCACAGACTTATCAACTAAAGGATTTGATAAAAGCACTCTGAGAAATTTTTTAACTTCACCTCTCTCACTCCCTCAAATTACCATACCCCTTTTGAAAAGCAACCTCACCCTTTTATTCCCTCAGATTTTAGCCCTAAATTCTAAGGTTTACAACAAGAGAGGGATTTTACATGCTTTCCGTTAGAAGTATCCAGACTTCGTGAGTGGAGCTCCCATTATTGATATGGATAAACAATTCTGATCAAAATAACAAACTCCTACAGCTACCATAAACCCACTAAGGGGTAATATTGTAAATATCCGAATGAGGAAAAAGAGTTGGAGACAAATGATCTTAGTCATCACCAAGGTTCGAAATGTCGATAGAAATATCGAGGTCTTGATTTTATGGACCTGTCGATGGATATGTCGATGTCGACGGATATTTCTGAAAAAATCACGGAAATTGTAAAAATTAATAAAAAGTTGTTTTAATTAGTAAATAGAACTTTAATTATAGCTTAATTAAACTATAGTTGATCACTTTTAACCATCATATGTAAAATTATGAGTAACTTATGAAAAATATGAGTAATCTACTTATGAAAATGTCGATGTTGATAAAAATATTGGAACAAGATAATAACGATTGATATAAATAATTTGAATTAGTAAATTGAAGTTCAATATTGTTTAATTATGTTTTATTGATAAATTATAACCAAATCTAGTATTTAGTTACATAATTAAATAAGATATGAAATATTGATATATACACACATATACATATAATGATTAAATTGAATTATTAGAAATTGAAGGATAGGATTGAAAATTTTGTAATTAAATTTGAAAAGAAACATATATCCTTAGAACTATAATTAAAACAAAATCAACCAGAACAAAAATACAACGGATCAATATTAAAAATTGAAATGAATTATAATAATAAGTATATTATTATTAGAATTGAGTGGGGGGGGCGCCTCTTCTTTCATTTAATTTTCAAAGTTTAAGGTTTCTAAAGTTTGGATGGTTGGGTAGTTGGGCCCATTATTTTGGGCCCGCTTATTAGTTAATTTTTTTTTATGATATATGATTGTATATCGCTGAAATGTCGACTTTTCCCGATGTTTTTAACTAATCAAATCAATTGAGTTGGGTGTTTTTTGTTAATTAATAATATGCACAATTGAGATGGTATAACGTAGAGTGCAATCGCCTTCTAAAGTTAATCACCCAGACTTTGATGGTCCAACCTTTTAAGTAATGTCTCAACTTTAGATATAATGTACAGTGAAATTGCCTTTCTATTACTTTTTTTTGTTTTTTTTTTATACAATTTTTCACTGAAATTAGAATACTATTTTTAAATATAGTTTTCTTTCTTTCCAAGTTTATTTGAAGAGTTACATTGTTATTGCGTATTGGCTTATCTGGGAACATTTAACATTATAGAAACTATCTCATTGTGACATTGGAGGTTTTATTATATGAACTATAATGAAAAAAGGCATATATAATATATGAACCAACAATTTTTTATATATTAGGTATATGTTGAAGTTTTGCTATAACTTGCAAGTTTTGCTATATTCGATATATAAAGGTATATATTTCATGAATTACAGAATTCCAGAGGCGGAGAAGATTTATTTTTTTTATATATTTTATCAGAAGAACTTGTCGTATTATATATTTAATCAACTCCAAATTATAAAACTATATATATTTATTGCACCACGAAAACAAAATATTTATTGTATATATTTAATCAACCCCGCAGCAAAAACTGTATATGTTTTATGAATTACCAAACAAAAACAAAATATTTACGATATAAATTTCATGAACCACATATGATTTTAATTTTGTAGACTTAGGGTATATTAGAAATACATTGAGTGATCCTTTTATCAACCTTTTGCTGAGGAAAATTTCTTCCTTTTTGGTAAACAACCTTTTACAAAAAGTCTAATTATTGACTTCTTTTTTTGCCAAATGCGTTTTTTATTTTATTTTATTTAACCTTTCAATTATTGAAATATCATCCACATGGACAATGATATATTTTAAATATACTAATAAGTACAGACACATCTAATTTAAATACAGTTTCTCATATTTGGTGCTTGTGAACCTTTTGTATAGAGATGTAGTTGTAGTTTGTTAGACCTATTCATATTTCAAAAATTTAATTGGTTATAAATATGAGAACAATGAATGAAACATAAAGCAAAAATAGAAAATATTCCAAATATGAGAAATAAAATATAAAATTAACAAACATCAATGAAATAACAAAGGAACTACAATAATGTTTAAATAGCAATAAAAATTAAATGTCTTCTTATTGTGTAAGGGAAGTTTTGCATGAAATCTTATTATGATCGTATCTTCCACGGCAACCACATCTAACGCGTTTTTTAAATTCAATTGCTGAAGGAATTCTCAACTTTTTTTATCTGCCAATAGAATGTTTCACATCTGGCGGAAGAATGTTTATGCTCTCCACCTCCTCTGGAATATTCCAACTTGACTGGTGACCTAATGGATAGACGGGAGAAACATAACCTTTGGTAGGTAAATGCTTTTGTGTTAATACGACACATGCATGAGCTCAAGGTATTTTAACGAGATATCCCACTAACAACATATGCAACTTCGTTTTGGAAGTATTATCTCAAACTGTTTACTGTGATCAATTACTTGGTAAACGTCAATATTGACTGGAAACACTTACCAAGAAAGGAAAATGATTAATCTGATTAAGTTTGATGATATGAATCATATTCATATCATTTGATATTCAAAATTCTGATGTTGATGAAAGTAGTATGATTAATATATACCAGGAGTTAAGGGTGTGTAATGTATACATACCGACGAAGAAATTCAGCATAAAGTAGTAATTACCTACATTGTACGTGTAGCTAAAATTTTTTTCTCTAAACTGTCTTTCAGCACTTTTAGTGAATTCAATCATTTGGAAATCAACATCGTTCTTACGCTCATAAAACCACCTCTGTAACATCATCCTCAAAACTTCCAACATAGAAGTTATTGGTAATTCTTGTGCATTCTTCATGGCAGAATTTAAACTTTCTGAAATGTTTGTTGTCATGAAATTATATCTTGGCAAGGTGAATGAGCATATGATCATTTAGAGAAACCTATTGAAAACAACTTCTCATGTATGTCTCGTACAGTAGTCTCTAACAAGCTCAAATTATATTCAAAATCCTCAACATTATATGTTTTAGTACATTGGAAAAATAACTTATCAGACACCTTGTCCTTATACTTCATCTTCAAATTCTTGAAAGGTGGAACGCGCATATGCAATAGCAAGTCTTGGGAAAAATCATTTCAGCTGATGTAGCTATACTCTTGTGCTTGTTTGAAACAATGACAAGGTCTTTACGAAAACCTATACATTCTTTAAGTTGTTCAAAAGACCACTTCCACAAAGCATCATTCTCTGAATCAACAACACAAAATGCCCAAGAAAAAATGTGATCATTCCCATCTAACATACATGAAGATAATAGAGTGCCAACATACTTATTCTTCATCGATGTTCCATCAACTGAAATGACAAGTCGACAATATTTCCATCCAGCAATCGAAGACGACAAAGACATAAAAGAATATTGAAACATTCCATGGCCGTCAACTTTTAAATTACATATAGAACCTATAACAAACAAATACATACTAGATTATATAATATAAACCATACAATGAAAGTTGAAATAACTGAGTACTATCATACTTGGATTTTTCTCTTTTAGCATATGAGAAAAGGAAGGAATTAAAAACATACGATTCTTTTGGTGATCTTTTAATCTCATATTTTGCAAATTCTCTTGCACGCCAGACTTTTTGATAGTTGATTGTAAGACCGAGTTCCAAACGAACATGAGATATAGCATCTTTGACACTCATCATATCAGTGTCTGCTATGCTAATCCTGCCCTTAATATATTCCT